TGCCACGGGAGCTGTGCCTAGGCAGGGAAGCCGTGCTGCTCTCAGCCTCTGCAGTGGCCAGGCTTTGCCCTGGTAGCCCTGAGCCCATCGAGAAACCCTTCGGGTCACACGGCCAGGGCCTGGCGTGAGCAGGAAACCGAGGTCTCCTGGCCTAACCCCTAGGCCTTGCTGCTGGCTGGTCCATGCCTCTTGCCGTGGCTGGCCACGGGAGCTGTGCCTAGGCAGGGAAGCCGTGCTGCTCTCAGCCTCTGCAGTGGCCAGGCTTTGCCCTGGTAGCCCTGAGCCCATCGAGAAACCCTTCGGGTCACACGGCCAGGGCCTGGCGTGAGCAGGAAACCGAGGTCTCCTGGCCTAACCCCTAGGCCTTGCTGCTGGCTGGTCCATGCCTCTTGCCGTGGCTGGGGGTCCCAGGCACAGGGTCTTGGGCATGGCACTGGCTCGAGGGAAAGGCCTGCCCCTCTGGGGTAACGGCTGGCTCTTCCCAGCTCTGCCCCGGCCTGGGCGTCTCTTCCCTCCGGGCAGCGCTGCGGGAGGCTCCGACACGTCTGGCTCTAGCGCTCCGTGCCCTCCGGACTCCCTTAGTGCCGCCCATGTGGCCCCCCCCATGCTTTTCGGGGGTATTTCCTGCTTGCCGGCCAATACCTGCGTGTCTAAGGGGTGAGGTCTCTGGGAAGACCAGGGATGTGGCTCTGCCCTGCTGTGGGGGCAGCCTTGGCCAGCAGGTTCTTCCGACAGCTGGGGGGGCACTCGAGTTAAACAGAGTGCCCTCCGGACTCCCTTAGTGCCGCCCATGTGGCCCCCCCCATGCTTTTCGGGGGTATTTCCTGCTTGCCGGCCAATACCTGCGTGTCTAAGGGGTGAGGTCTCTGGGAAGACCAGGGATGTGGCTCTGCCCTGCTGTGGGGGCAGCCTTGGCCAGCAGGTTCTTCCGACAGCTGGGGGGGCACTCGAGTTAAACAGACACGGACCAGATCAGCTCCCCTTTGATCTCCGGTGTCGGCGCCTGCTCCAGCTGCCCAGAGCCTTCTAGGGCAGCCCAGGCAGGAACTGCCCGACTCGGGAGCAAAGCTCCTTATTTAGGGACAGGGCCAAGCAAGGGGGGCAGAAAGCCCCTGTCTGTGCAGGTGAAAGGGGTGGAGGGTGCCAGCTGGGCAGCTCTGGGGGGGCACAGTCACCAAAGTGGCTTGTAGGGGAGGGGGTGTTGGGGCCATAACGCCCATCTCCTCCCCTGCAGGGCCCTGGCATGTGCGGACCCTGGACTACCGCCTGACCGTCCAGCCGGAGATGGAACAGCTGGTGAGGGCCACGGTGGTTTACCCTGCGGCTCAAAGGGGTGGAGGGTGCCAGCTGGGCAGCTCTGGGGGGGCACAGTCACCAAAGTGGCTTGTAGGGGAGGGGGTGTTGGGGCCATAACGCCCATCTCCTCCCCTGCAGGGCCCTGGCATGTGCGGACCCTGGACTACCGCCTGACCGTCCAGCCGGAGATGGAACAGCTGGTGAGGGCCACGGTGGTTTACCCTGCGGCTCTGCCGCTGGCTCTCGCGCGGCTGGAGTGCGTGGTGCGGCTGCAGGGCGAGGGCAGGCTCTCCGGGCGCGCTCCCCCGCCAACAGGCCACCGGAAGCCCCCTGCCACCTCGGGGATGGCCAGCTGGGCGGAGCAGGACGTCACCCCCCACCTCCTGCCATGGGCCTCGGACTCACAGGAG